CCTTTTACTACAAGTTACAATACTGCAGATGATATAGACTGCACTTTTCTAACGACTGTATACGGGGGGCCCACTACGGATGGGATCGGCCGATCGGCCCGATCGCCCGAATCGGTCGCCTAAAAAACAAACGTGTTTGTTTTCAGTTTCAGGCGATCAAGTCGGGAGTTCGCCCCGATCCAGCTGGAGTGGGCACCCCGTATTAGGGGCCAGCCACTCTGGATAAAAAAAACTGAAAAAAGATTTGCAGGTCCACTAAGTTGTATGAATTGTAATGAGAAAATACTGATAGAAATGGAAAAGCTTTGAAGGCTCACTTATTTGCATAAATTGTATTGATAAAATACTGAAAGAAATTAAAGATTTGCAGGAGTGCAGTCAAAAATTCGTGGCGCAACTTATCCTCAAATATCTCTCTAATGGCTGAATCAATCACCCATACTTTGCCCAACAGTCTGTATAAATTTGTCTTAACTTAATAATACTTTTCCACAATAACAAGGCCCCCTTGATGGGGGTATCACTCAAATACACAAACACACACATACACACGCATACACGGATACACACATACACACAAACACACACACATACACAGATGTACATACTCATACGCACATACAAACACACACACAATGTGAGAACTGTGGCTAGTGAATGAGTTGAAGGTACAGAAAAATCAACAATCGGAAAGAGATATTAAGTAAGAAACTCTGATGAATATATCATGAATGAACACATAGAAAAAATGGGATAAAGAGATGAAAATATCATAATTCGTCTCGCAAATAGAGATAGTAGAGAAAAAGATGAAAATATCATAATTCAGCACAGAGACAGATATAATAGTGATAAGACAATTCAACACGCAGTATGGATAAAAAGAACGTGATGAAGATACCTTTATAACTCAACACGAGAATAGAGAGGGGAGAAAGAGATGAAGACATACAGAGTAATTAAAGCACGAAAGTAAGATGACAGAGGGCGTTATGAACGTACAGACAACTCGACATGAGCTCAAACACTCAGAGATAAGACAGCGAGAGTGATGAAACTGGAGTATAATGGAGGTACAGAGACTCGACACTCAGACAGAAAGAGAGACGAGAACGAGGTATGGAGGTACAGAGACTCGACACTCAGATAGAAAGAGAGACGAGAACGAGGTATGGAGGTACAGAGACTCGACACTCAGACAGAAAGAGAGACGAGAACGAGGTATGGAGGTACAGAGACTCGACATTCAGACAGAAAAAGAGACGAGAACGAGGTATGGAGGTACAGAGACTCGACACTCAGACAGAAAAAGAGACGAGAACGAGGTATGGAGGTACAGAGACTCGACACTCAGACAGAAAGAGAGACGAGAACGAGGTATGGAGGTACAGAGACTCGACACTCAGACAGAAAGAGAGACGAGAACGAGGTATGGAGGTATAGTTTTGTTTGTGTCAATAGAGGTTTTACGGCGCTCGCAACCTCCTATTAAGGTAATATGAGCGCCAAAGGGTGGATGTCAACCAAAAGTCCTTACAGGGAATCCTTCTTACTCTGCTCACCTCTATTGCTTCAACAGCATAGAGTCGGCTTCGACTAACAAGGCATCCCTGAAATAGCGGGTCAGAAGAGAGTGGCAAACATACAAAAGAAGTAGAGGGAAAATGACGATAGTAAGGATAATGAAGGAAAAAGCGGCAATTCCCTGTTGTAGTACAGGCACAATTGTGAGCATGACATTATTGAATCAGCCCATTTACGATTACAATTCTACTGTACATAAGAACTCGAGATGTTAATGCCCCCCCCCCCCCACCTCATTTTTGGGAATGGGCCCCCACCCCATTTTTGAGAATGGCCTGAAGACACTTTAGTGAGTTGGGCGCTACTCTGTGGCGACCGGGTGTGTTCACTTTGCTCTGTGCTTATTTTTTGTGTTTTTCTCAGTTATTCTGTTGTGCTTGGACTCTAATTTATTACTAAATCAAGATGAATGTGTGGTGCTTAATATCTTTAATATCTGTGCCATTTTTGCCTCTGTTTGAAGCTAGTCTTCAAGCTGTTATCCAATGGAATATTTCTCCATTACGAGTGTGCTATAGTTCGGCCATTCTTAAAAGCCTTTGCCCCTCAGCAAGACCCGTGAATATCTTTCAACAGGACATACCACAAGAGATTCGCAAGCGAAAGCGGGGCAGGAAAGGCGGTGTTCGAGCCCGACTATCATTACTGGCAATGCTCGATCTTTGAACAACAAACTTGACGAACTAAGGGCTAATATGAGACATCTGCATGAATATAGAGAAGCCTCCTTCCTATGCTTCTCAGAGACCTGGTTCACTGAAGATACCACCAATGCTAGTGTAGACCTAAAACGGTTCAATGTTTTTCGTACAGACAGGAATAGCTTCTCAAATAAAAGTCATGTTGGAGGTGTTTCTTTTGTTTTTGTAAAGTGTTTTACGGCGCTCGCAACTGCATAAGGTCATATGATTGTTTT